CGCTCCTGCTTGAGACTGTCACGGCGCTCCACCAGCGTGGTCCCAAGGTCAGGGCAATGCCCACCCGTGCCGTTGTGCTGGGAGAGGGGCTCCTCCTTCAGCAGCCCACGAGCCCCAGGGTCAAATTTGAAGAGGTGTTCGGGCTCGGTGAGCTCAGCGCTTTCCACCACCACCGGCCCCGTCCACTCTGGGACCTCCAGCCCCAAGTGCTTCATCAGCTCCGTCATGACATCATCGACGTAGGCGTGGATGCGCAGGTCGGCCTGTCTGTCCTGGGGCGAGCGAGGGCAGGCCCGGCGTTAGGGGACAAACACAGTGTGCGGGGACAAACGTCCCCTCCCAGGGAGCGTGTGGGGACAGGGTGTGGGTGATGGCGCAGCTGCACGCAGGCTCCAGGGCTTCTGTCCCTGGGACATCGTGCCTGGTGGAGCATGAACTGACCCCGCCTGGCACCTCTCCCCAGCTATGCCGCGGGCTGATCGGGCTCGATCAGGGTGTGGGCAGGCCGTTTGTGCCCTTAAACACAGTCCAGAGACAGGCACATGGATGCAGAGCCAGGCTAGCGAGCCCAGGACAGAGTGGGACAGGGACAAGGGAGCTCTAATGACATCCCTGAAACCCCCCAGCTCCCGTTATTCGAAAGACTATGGACAACTAGGGCACCAAAACCAGGGTGGAACGTGAACCAAACTCCCCTGCCCCATGGCATGGGTTACGCGTGTGCGGTTACTTAATTGGGCCGTAATTCACCGGACGATGCATCAGGCTTTGGGCTGAGTTTTCATTCTGCTCTCAAGATTTCCTTTCCATTTCCAGGTGTTCGTGAGGAGTTGCAGGTTTAAGCGCCCCAAGAAGGGAAGCCCAACGAGTTCGCTGGCTAAGCGAAGCCACCCTTCGATCGGGCTGCCTGGGAGGGGACAACGTGCGGGGACTGACCCGCAACGGGGCTGAAACACGGGGAAAGGAGCAGCGCGGAGCAGCGAGGACGCGCTCACTCACGTGTTTGGTTGCTTGGAGGTTGACTATGACCAGCTTCCCTCCTCTCTTCTTCGTGATCAGGGGGAGGTTGCCACTAGGTTTGATCTGCAGAGAGGTCCCCAGAGTGACAGAGAGATCAGCTTTCCTGCAAGGAGGAGATAAAACATCCAGGGCAGAGAAAAAGCCATGGTTGTTTGCAGGCTGCTTCTCCTACCCTGCTCCAGCATGGATTCTCCAAGCTTTCCAGCCGGGAATCAAAGCTGTGGGCAGAATTTGCCATGTTTTTTCTTGGACAATTTCTGGGGGAGAGGGCTGGGCGTTGTGCTGTGGGTACAGCCTCGGGGCTGCGAGGCACGAAACACGACGAACAAAGCTGGGCAAGGTCGGCCCAAGGGCCGCCGTGGCGCGGGCGGAGGACGGGGAGCCCGGGCGGAGGACGGGGAGCCCGGGCACCCTCCCGGAACAGTGTGAACCGCAGGTGTCAGCGGCTGCCATGGCGTGAGAGCCCAAGCACAGTACCTGCAGGCTTCGTCCGCCAGCGTAAGGTCACGGTCGGGTAGGGAATCTTCCCAGTCCAGAATGGTGTCTCTTAACTTTCCTCTAGAAAACACAACACACGCAGAGACCACAGTTTCCCCTGCCAGGCAAAACCAGGCAGCAAACCCCAGATCCTGTCCCACCCTCCCTGGCCCGGCACTGCAAAGGGACAGAGAGAGGTGTGGAAAGGCACAGAATTCACCTGCCTGAGGTGATTTTGAGGCTGGTGCTGCCATGTCACCAAAGCCCCAGCTGTTTCGCTGTCCCAGTTCAGAGCTGGGATGTGCCTGTCACTCCCCAGCATCAGAGCTGGGCCAGCAGAGCTCTGCCCCACGGCCCGGATGAGAAAAGCAGCAGGGCTGGGCTCAGCGAGCCTGGGTGAGGAAGCACGAGGGGCACATGGAGTGTGTCTGGATGCCAGATCACCTGAGGGCA